TGACCAAAATACCTTTATAACGTTTCAGGGGTATTTTATGAAAATTATTTTTTTAATATTTTTATTAGGTATGCCTCTATGAGAAGAGTTGATGTTCCAAATTTCATTTTTCAAGGGTATTTTGGTGAATTTATTTTATATAAAATATTTATTTGATATTTTTATGGGTGTGGTTTCTATAAGGTTGTAACCTTTAACAATCCAATTAAGACACACCTCCAAATTTATTGTAACATGTAATTTTAGTATAAAAAATTATTAGGATTATCTCAAAATCTATTTTTATATCTAGTTATAAAATTTTAAACTTAAAAAATGGTCAAAATCAAGTAAATCTATAAATATATGAAGACCTTGAAAATAGACAGTCTAGATTATGTGTTGCAAGATGCACTATTTTTGGGACTCAAAATCCTTTTTTTTTTTTCATATTCATACATGTCGATGTCGAGATAATCAATTAGAGGGTTTTTCAACATTGAAACAATATTTTCCGATGGATTTTTTAGGTGCATCTGTAATTCTACATTTAAAGGTTACAACCTTATATAAACTTTTTCCTATTTTTATTAAATTTTACTATTTTTGAAGAATAGACGTTCTAAAGTTCAAGTGGTTTGAATTTGTGAAAAAAAAAATACAAATCAATTACAAAATACAATTATAATCATTGAATCGGCTCAAATTCAATATAAACAGTTGAGCTTATACTATTCCATCAAGCCCTATATATATCCAATACCGAGTTACTTGACTAGGGCGCGTCACTACACAACGGATTCAATATGAAGAGCTGAGCTTATACTATTCCATCAAGCCCTATATATATCCAATACCGAGTTACTTGACTAGGGCGCGTCACGACACAACGGGTACGATATGGAAGACATATTTGAAATGCCGAAAAACTGATATTTACATAATTTTTGCTGTATGTTTTATAAATGCTGGCTACACCTACCCGTCACGTGGCTGAAAGAGAAACGCATGCAGCTTGCCGCGAATGGGACTGGTGGTTGATCAGCAACCAATATATTTCTCCCTCATTCTTCGAATATGTTCAGTCTTGCCCATTGTCAGATACCCAGCCCAAGTTAACAAAAATGCCGAATGTTTCAGTTTCGCTTTGGACTTTTTTTTGGTTCGGTGAGAAAAAAAAACAATTCAGTGTCTCGGCCGATTCGGGGAAGACTTCAAATTTTTTTTAATTTAGTATAAATAAATTAGATATTTATATATATATTATATATAAATAATAAATTTTTTTTTTTTTTAAAAAACTACATTTATATACCTATTTATTTGTTCGCCGAAGCAAACCTGAAGCAGTCTGAATTTGACCGAAGCAGCTCTAAGCGGTATGAATCTGACTTAAGCGACAGTACTACATTTCGTTTCTCTTCGGTTTATGCCTTCTCTTCGAAGAGAAGCGAATTTGATAACATTGGATAGGATTGACAACATACCCGGCCTATCTTGGGATCGGGTCTATAGCACGTTCGAAAAATCGAAGGGATCAGGTTTCACGTTCGAAAAATCGAATTAGCCTTGGAAACTGACTAAGGCAGGTATTGGTCAGTCCAAAAAATGTTAAAAAGACAAAAAAATCCAAAAAATATGTAACTTATATTTAACGCTTGATTAAACTAAGCATATCCAAATGAAGTTGAAAAGTAATGAAAAAAAATAGATTAAAAAAATCGATTTGTGGTAAGGGTTATTTTTAAAAAAATTCAAAACATATGAAAAAAATGTAAAAATGAATATTCATGGCCAAAACATTTTTCAATCCTTGCGAACACTTTTCAAACCAGACCACCAAAACCTGATTGGCAACTACATGGCAGTTTGACTGGCCGGTTCCAAGTTGGACCGGTTGAGTTTGTGAACACTGGTAGGGCTTAATAGACTTAAAGAATTAGAGAGAGAAATAATATCTAAATATTATAAAGAATTAGAGAGAGAAAGAAGAGATAAATATAGAAACAATTAGAGATGAAAGAGATAAATATAAACAGGATCAAAGAGACAAATATAAACAGTAGAAAAGGGTTTAAAATGCCGTAAAACATGAGTTAGTTTTTAACGGTACTTAAAATTGTGTATAACATTTTAGTTTTTACAGTAGTTTAAATATCGTAATTGTGCTTCACGGTAATACGACTACCGTGAAGGTTATTTTGGTAAAAAAATGCCTAAATTGAAAAAAAAGGGTGTGGACGACATTTATGAAAGTTGGAGGTTTTTTTCTAAATAGAGGAAAATTAAAGTATTTTTGTGATAGTTTCCCTAAATTTAAATTTGTTTTTAATTATTTTTGCCATAAAATAATATTGGAATTTTTATTATTTTGTAGAACTTTTTATCGGTATTTTTCGTTTTTTTTCTTATTGTTAATCAATTTTTTTATAAATAATTCATGCTAATTTAAAATAAGATGCTTAAATTTTTAAAATAAACTTTAATAAAAAAATTTTATATAAGGGTGAGGCCCTAAATAATGAAACACCTCAATAATTCACTAGAAGAAGATATTTCTATACCCAAAAATCCTGAAATTGATCATCTCGACCTGAAGACATATTAAATGAGAAAATTTGGATTTCAAGCAGGGCATCTTTTAATAAAATTTCAAGATCATCAAGTATTCATAGATCTGCTCGATCTACGCTATGTTTTATTCTTTCAATTTTATAATTTGAGATGAAAATAGATTTTCAAGCCATAAATAAGATTTTTGGTACTAAAATAATATACATTGTTTCATGGTGCGCCTTACTCAGCCTTATACAAACAAGATGATTAAAATTTTAAGATCAACTTCAATAGGGAGTCCTCCTTTCCCTGCACTTTCGACACAAAGATAATGAATTAGTTCCAATTTGAATAGTTTGAATAGAGATACGGTTAGTATGAAGATAACTACATCTAGGATATCTACAAATAATTTTGGGAACTTAATATCTTCATTTTAAAGGATATTTAAAAAATGACCCAATTTTTTTGAATTTCAAGTAGATCAGTTATTTTGAACTTATTGTTCTCCAAAATGCCATTAAATTCGGTACTCAAAGTACTAAACTAAGGGTTTAGCTTTACAATTACAAAATTAGTGTCATGTACTTGGATTACTAAACATCTAAACAAATTTTTTGTTTTAGCAGAAAATAGTTTGGTAATGGCAATACCGAACTAGTTTTTTGTTTTCTTTTTTTTTTCTTATAAAATCAAGTTTGGCACTACTAGTATCAAACTATTTTTTTTTTCTTTACAAAATCAAGTTTGGCACTACCAGTACCAAACTATTTTATGTTTTTCTTTTCTTAAAATTATACAGAGATTTTGTTTGGCATGGGGAGTACCACAAAACAACATTGAGCTAAAAAACATTCAGTACTCCCTATACCAGTCATTGTTTTCGCAATTGCAAAGTTATAACGTTAGTTCGGTACTATGAGTTCACCTTTGGTACAAAGAAGTCACGTACACTCTTGGCTAGTAGATGAAAATTTGACCATTTGAAGTATGTCACACCATTCAAAGAAATTATATCTTGTATATACTATAAGAACATTCATCTTTGGTAGAAGGCTGACTTATACACTCTTAGCTAGTAGATGTAAAATCCAACAAATTAAATATCTCACACTAATCAAAAAACTTATATTTTAGACTTTATGCTAGATCAATGATACATTACCGATCACCTAATTTTACAGCCAACAACCAATAATGAATATGAAATTATTGTGTAAAAAATATCTGGCCTTATTATGTAAAAAAAAAAGTTTACATAAGATTGACAAATTAGCGATTGAGTTGGAGGATAAATCATAAAATTTGATGCACCCAGGAGAACATGGAATCTTTTGGCCTCTAAAAAACGCAGGTCAATCGTTTCAGAGTCTTTTTTGGTTTAGTGAGAAAAATGAACTGCTTCATAGCTTTGGCCGATGCAGGAAAGACTTCAGATTTTGGCCAAAATGATTTTAGTTTTATAGAAATTTTACCAAAATAATTTTTGTATACAAAAAAAAAGTTTTATCAAAAAATAATAAAATTTTTCTTTTAAAGTATTTGCATGAAAATTAATTTTTAGGTAAAAAAGTGAGAAAAAAAGATAGGTCGGCGAACCGTATACTTTTAAATCTGACCAAAGACTTTCATTTCCCGGGAGGGATATGGGTACCATTACCGTACAGCAAATTTCGTTAGGCACGTGGAGGAGCGGTCGATAATCACCAAGTCCAAACAAGGTAATGCCCATTTTTGGTATTTAGGGGTAGAGGAAGGTGATTATTGCGCACAGATGTCCATCTATAAAAGGAGAGAGAGAGGGAAAGAGTATCCAATTTCGTTGCAGAGGCTTTCTTCCTAATTTGGCTTCTCGCTCTTAAATTTTAGAGAGAGAGAGAGAGAGAATTTTTTGAGGGAGAGAGAGAGAGGGAGACTAATTTTGTTGCAGAAGTCGTCCAAATTCCTTCGCTTTCGTCACTTTGAACCTTTTTTTAATTTTAGAGAGAGAAATGAGAGAGAGTTTTAGGGAGAGAGCGCAATTAAGGATTCGGAGAGTATTGTGAATAAATTGCAGACAGAGAAAGACAGGGAATTTGGAAGGTATTGGAGACGAATTTTAAATAGAGAATCATTTGAGAGTTTCGACGAGAGAGAGAGTTTTTAGAATATTTGTCGTGAGGTACTTTTCTGGAGAAAGAGGCTTTGAAGTTTGCATTAACGAGGACAGTGTAATTCCGTGACTTAATGGTTGTCTTTTTTATGAGATTTGGTGGCTCACGTATTTTCCTGAGATTTCTAGAGAGAGAAAGAAAGGGAGAATTTTGGGTTTTAAAGTTCTTGTTAAATTAGGACACCGGTTCTTCTCATCGGTATTAAATTCCTGACTTTATTCTGAGTCCCTAGATTGTAGTATCTGTTTGGGTTTCACCAGTTCAGGGATTTAGGTTTTTGGACGTTATGGGTAAAAATTCATCGGACGATTCATGAATTTTGTGAGAATTGTTTGAGAAGAAGGGAAATTATTGGCTAACTTCTACTGAAATTAGGGTTGCCGGGAAATATTGGCTGATTTTTGTGAGGATTTAATTTGTAGAAAGTGATGGAGGTTTCAGAGAAAATATCGAGTGCTCAGGATGTGTTAGCAAGCATGAAGTTTGCAGTGTTACCCATTGCAAAGGTCTTCACGATGTGTTTTCTAGGGTGTCTTATGGCGTCGAAATATGTTAATATTCTTCCGGCTAGTGGGCGGAAGCTTCTAAATGGGGTAATTTTATTTTTGTAATTTTTATTGTCACCTTTATCCATGCATGCTGATTTCAGATTTTTTATTAGCTATTTGCCAGATTATTGCATGATAATTCATTGATATCTGAATAATTTGATTTGATATGGGAAAAAATTGCATGCATTAATGCTTTTCTATCTGAAAAAAATTGCATCCATTCCGATGCTTTGCTATCTGAAAATTTGGGCTCTGATATGGTTTAAGTATATATTTGACGCAGCTGAAAATTACTGGCAGCCAATTTCAGCTTGTTTGAAGCATCCATTTAGATGCTTTGCTAATTTTGTCCTGCATCAATATTTGGACAAAATTAGAGCTTCTGATGTATATATATATAAAAGAAAAAGTTTATATAGAACCGAGGCTCAAAACAATCAAATTAGAACCCACCTCAAAAACATCACGAGAAGAGGTTGTTTTGATGCCCAAATATCCTCAAATTGATCATCTCAACATCAAGATGCATAGACATGAGAAAAAAATGGATTTCAAGTTTTGAAAACAGTGCATCTTGTAATGTACTTTTGGACCGTCAATTTTTAAGTTTTCATAGATCGGCTCGATATATACTATTTTTGAAGCTTTAAATTTTATAATTAAAGATAAAAATATATTTTAAGGCTATCACAAAGATTTCCAGTATTGAAACCATATTTCTCGACTCTATTAGAAGGTGCGCTTTACTTCAATTGTTTAGAGCCTCGACTATATATATATACAATGAGACCATTTGAAAAAGGAGAGATCAAGGAAGATGTCGCACACATAATTAGAGTTGGGCGGGCAAAGTGGAGATGTGCAACTGGAATTTTATGCGATCGTCGCATATACCAATGAAGCTGAAGAGTAAGTTTTATAGGACAACAGTGAGACTAGCTTCGCTCTATGGGGTGGAATGTCGGCGAACAAAAAACAATATACCCATAGAATGAGTGTAATGGAGATGAGGATGTTGAGATGAATGAGTGGCAAGATAAGAAGGGATAGAATTCACAATGAATCTATTCAAGAGAATTTAGGCCTGACACCAATAGGCAATAAAATGAGAGAGAGTAGACTTAGGTGGGCTCGCCATGTGCGGCATCGACCAAGTACAACACCTGTTAGGAAGTGCAAATTAGTTCAAGTGGAAGGACTGAAAAGGGCAAGGGGTAGGGCCAAAAGGATGTGGTTGGAAGTAATCCAAAAAGATATAGGGAATTATGGCCTCACTGAGGAGATGGGGACCTTTAATAGAGTAGAATGGAGAACCAAGATTCATGTAGCCAACCTCAATTAATTGGGAAAAGGCTAAAATGATAATGATGATGATGACAATGAGACTATTTACCTTTGGTACAAGGTGGTCACAATTAATCTTGACCATTGGATGTGAAATTGGGTGATTGCATTTATTCGATTGACCAAGCTCAAAATTCAAATGAATTTTTCTTGAACTTTGTGACCCACCCTAGCTATCAGATTTCAAATCAGATGGTTGTAGGTAATTGTGACCTCCCTATACCAAAGGTAAATGGTCTCATTGTATACAATCCCTATATAATAAGACCATTTACCATATTATATATGGATTGTATATATTAAAAACTTCCATGGACATAACATGTTTGTGGCGGTTGCTCGTGTTTTTTTGTGTGAAAAAACCCCAGTACCACAACGGACACACTATGTCCATGAAGGTCTTTTAATTCACACCGTCCCAAAAAATCAGACAGCATCGAGCCTATGGGCGAAAATACTGTTCATTTTTGCCCATAGGCGTTGTGTATATCTATATATATATGTATATAATTTCAGCCAATTTGTTATTTGTCTATCAAATTGTGTTAAATTGGCTTATTTGCCATTTTAGAACTATGAACCACGTAATTCTATGAATGGGGTTTGCTTAATTTCATCTCTTAACTTTTTCTTAGCTAAACTTAATGGAGATTATATTGTTTGAAACACTAATCATGTTTCCTACTTTCAATTTGGGCAAATTTTAGCCAAATAATGGGAATTTCCTTCCCCAAGTTGACTTAATCTGGAACCATGAATTATATGATAAAAGAGCGGCATATGTTTCTTAAATTTTTCACCTTCTTTAACTTGTTGTACTAAACAGTGATTTAATGAGTTCAAGGGGCCCCCAAACAACAACAACAGCATCATCATTAACAATCTTAAGAATAATTTAGTAATGGTAATAAGAGTGATAGTGAATAAACGTGAAGATGGTAATGATAGTATTGCTAATAATAGGAAGTTAAGAATGATTATAGTAATAGTTAATAGCAATAGTAATAGTAATGGTAATAATAATGGGGATAGCGATGACAGTAAAAGTAATTATAGTAATAGCTATACTAATGTTGATGCTAATAGCAGTAGTATAATAGTCAAGAAAGCAACAATATTGTTGATGACTGCAGCTGCAGCAATTGATTTAATAGTAGAAGCAGTAGTAATGGTCATAAAGGAGATTATGAAAAATAATAAGAGGCCATGTTACATATTATTTTTTTCTGCATGTGAATGTTGCATGATTAGGCTATCTGAAAGTTCTCAGTAAGTTGCATGAATCCCCCGTTAAAAAAATTTCTATGACCAAGAAAAAACATGTTTGAATGTCACCATCTTGTAATGGCTAGAACCCTTTTGTAAAGTCCTCGGGGGTCCAATTAATGCCCAAGACCAATTACTACTGGTCACAATAAGGTCTATTTCATTATATTCTGGGGGTGATTGAAGTGACGGGGATTCAGAGTTTTGCTACTTAGTTGTTGATGGAGATCGAGAGCTGGGTGATCCAAAAATTTAATTGTACTTTTAACTTCATAGATGTGGGTGTATGTGTTATTTTTTTATTAGGGTTTTAGGAATTATAATGTGAGGTTAATCTCCAATACTTAGCTTCTTTTTCTTTTTCTTTTTTTACTATTCATAGGTTACTATTCATGTTATTGTTCATGGATACTCTTCATGGGTACTATTCATAAGGGTTTTTTGAAATTGTTAATATTGTTTAGGGGTATTTTAGAGTCTTAGACCTTGAGTTAATTTTAGGGTTTCATAGGTTTATAAAATGTGGGACTTCACATTATGGGATGCTTATGTTGTTGGAATGAATTTTATTTTATGAAAAGAAGAAAATTCTTCTTCTCTTGGCTTGATTGACAGCTGTGTTTTTTCTCCATTATTGTTGATTTTTACTTGTTTGAGGTTCAGCAAAAAGGTGGATTTAATTTCCAACCTTTCCTTCTTGTATCAAGTGGTGTTAGAGCTCAGTTCGAAAATGTTTAGAGATTGCGATGCCTGGTTGTAGATGTCTAGCCATAGGGATGCTGATCTGATCTGATTGCACAAGAAAATCAAAGGATAGGGCTACACAACTGTTGTGCAAATGAGATAAACAACAATGTGTTTTAAAGAAAGAGGAATCTACAAGGGTAGATCCAAATTGTGAAGGTTTTTATGGAGATTGGCGCAAATCAGAGTCTGAGTGTGAGCGGGGTCAGGCTGATGATGTGTCAAGTTACATATATGGTTTTGAGGTGCAATGGCATTGACAAAAGCATAATTTTGAAGGAGAACAACAAGGATCCAATCTCCAATTGGATTCAATGTTATTGGATGGTCCTATCGTTGATAGGATACTTATTTGATAAAGAACCAGGTGATCTTATCTTTGATAGTGATCCTATTTTCAATGAGCCATTGGATGAAAACGAAGAACTTGGAGTTCCTATATATGACGAACAACAAGTTGTAGGCAATGGCGATGGTCCTCACAATGATGGTAATGCTTGCGATAGTGGTGGTGTTGAAGTAGGTAAAAGAGGAGGCAACTGGAGGCAGCGACCATAAAGAGCTATTTTCTCTTACCAAGGTTGGGGCTAACCTTTCTTGTTTTCAATTAGAAGATTCCATCCCACAAAGGCAGGCTACCATATCTAGGTGCACAAAATTCTCAACAACTTGTTTGAGGATATTTTGGTCAGGCTTTTAATCCATAGGTCTCAGGATCAAGCCCCAATGTCAATGCGTAATATTGATCTTAAATTTATTTTAGGATTTCATGGGCTTATAAAAGGTAGAACATCACATTATGGGATGCTTATGTTATTGGAATCATATAATATGAAAGAATAAAGTTCTTCTTCTCTTAGCTTGATTTATAATTATGCATTATTGCTGATTTTTACTTGTTTGAGGTTTGGGAAAAAAGGTGGATTTAATTTCCTACCGTTCCTTCTTGCATCAGTTGTTGAGGAATATGATTATCTTCCTTGATTCGTGTATATACTGAATTTGACATCATATTAAGTATTCAATGTCTCACCTTTTGGTTCAAATTTGTATTGCAGCTTGTGTTTTCTCTACTCCTCCCATGTCTGATCTTCTCTCAACTTGGACAAGCTATCAACTTAAAAAAATTGTTAGATTGGTATGCTAAGTAACCTTTAAGCTTTTGTTTATTTCATGCATGAAATAGTTGTGATCTTCGCTGATTGAACTGTAGTGTTGATTATGTTGATGACTCTATTATGTAAGTTTTCACCTTAGACCCTTGCCTTGCAAATAATTCAATGCCTTCTTTGTACTTGCCTGATCGTTTGGTATTGCACTTACTTCTATTACCAGAGTCTCTTGAAAAGTGTTCATGTAATTGATTTTTTCTAATTCTCTTTGTAAGGTAGAGTTGGACTTTGAAATTTTTCTTTCATAAATATTGTCAGTTTGGGGAGGATTAAATACGTGGATTTCTTGCTACTTTATTTCTTACTAGAGCACTTGTTCCATGAAATATATCCTTTTGAAAATTATACATGAAATTAATATTGAAAAGGGAAAATAAAAGCTGAAAATTTTGCTTTGAATGAGTTATTTACAGCATCAATTTTCTGGTCAACATCTTTTTTATGACAGCAGAAGTTTTTGTGTGTGTGTGTTTTTGTTTCTGGTTCATCTTTTACTCTCTTAGAACCTAATTCATCTCCTGTCACCTGTGTAATTACTCTGTTTGCTTTGTATTAACTCTATGTTCAAAGGGCACGTATGTATCTCATTTTAAGTGCCTACAAAGACCAATAACTTTCTTCTTTGATTTTGAAGAATTAGCACATTCTGGTAAAACGCTGTTCAATAACTCGACTGATGCTTTCAACCTTTCCCCAATGAAGGGCATGGAACTAAAACTGAACGTTTCATTTTGCAGGTGGTTTATTCCTGTCAATGTTGTTCTTGGTAGCATATCAGGTTCACTGATAGGCCTGATTGTTGCCATCTTTGTTGAACCTCCATATCCATACTTCAAGTTTACAATTGTACAAATTGGAATTGGTGAGTTACCCCTGTCTCTGCTAATAAATGAAAATGCGGCACCAGTTTGTGGTCTTTGCTCTTGATAGGTGTTATAAACAATGACTTTGTGGGCTCAAAATAGTCATTTTTCATTCATTTCCTTATCTTTTGTTGCGAACTTCAGTCCACCTTTATTTGGCTTGCATTATAATCAAAATCATTAATTAAGATTCATAGCTGATAAAGATTGTTATCCTTAGTATGAGTATAGTTGAGATGATGATGATGGATGAGTGGCAAAACAAGAAAGGATAGAATTCAGAATGAATACATATGAGGGACCTTATTGGTGGCTCTAATAGGCAATATCGGAAAGTAGATTAGGTGGGCTGGCCATGTATAACATAGATCTAATACAACACCAATTAGGGGGGACGATTTGGTTTAAGTGGAAAGCTCTAAAAAGGCAAGGGGATAGTCTAGAAGGACATGAATGGAAGCAGTGAAAATAGATGTTGTGACTTTTTGTCTGACTGAGGGTATGGTCCTTGATAGAGTAGAATGACAGAATAAGACTCGTGTTGCCGACCCCAAATAGTTGGGGTAAGGCTCGGATGATGATGATTACACACACACAAGAAGACGAGTAAGTGAGTAAGAGGTTGATGCAGCAAGACGAGGTTAAGCCTCTAAATAAAGGTTGGGAATTCGTGCCGTACATGTGGCGACCTTTCATCTCATTATAAGAACCAATCCCATCCCAACTACACAAAAGATTAGTCAACAAGAAAGTACCACATCTTGAAGAACGGTCTGGGTCTCAATGATACTCGATAGTTGTTTAGGAAATTTAGCATCGACTTCCGAGATAAACTAAAAAGAAAATGGAGTGGTTGAAAACTTTTCAGATTTGTTTTTCATCATAGTTTCACATCTTGCAGCATGGCTTGTGCTATGATTAACATTTTCTAGTAATTTGAAGTATTGCTTTTTCTTTGAATGAAATCACCGACCTGAAACTTTATTCCACGCTGTCTTTTGATATAACTGTCCTATAGCAAAATCGTCTTAATTAATTGCTGCAAGGCTTTACTATCATCTGCATTCTCCTTAATTGCCTCAACAGTACTAATTTTATGCTTCTTTTGTATAGTCATATTTGCTTGTGCTATTGCAAGCTTCTAGACTGAAGGAGGATTCTTTTCAATGTGAACCTATATTTGATTCTCCATTAGGGCATGTGTGGTATGCGTGAAAATACTTCTGTGAAAGTAATTTCATGAAAGAACTCCCCTATGTGATTATGTGTGAGAATTTTTTCACACCAATTGGCTGCCAATTGGTGTGAAAAAACTCATGTACCTAAATACATGGGGAAGTTCTTTCATATTAAAATACTTTCATGTAAGTATTTTCACGCGTCCCAAATGTGCCCTTAGATTTTGTCAAGGGCTCTTTTGTGGTGTGAACCGTCTTTTTCTCTCTTTTTCTTTTTGAAAAGCGTGGCAAGGTATACCAATATCTAATGGAGAATGCTATAGTTGTACTCCAGAAAGAATCCAGCATCCTTTTTTTCTGACAGATGCTGGAGATTAACACTAGTGGGGCCCTCAGGGACACTCTCCCAGTTTCCGTTAAATCTCTTTCCATTATAGGGAACAGACTGTGGATGCCCATTTGGGTTACGCATACCAAACTTCATTGCTTGATGTTGGCTTACTTTAAAAGTTCGCTTCATTTATGTCCTTTACATCCTTTTTATGAAGGTCTGTTAAAAGTTGGAGTGCTCATTGGAAGTCCAGTGTAAAATTTAAGATTGGGTTGGTAAAGTGTATTGTTTGCTTTTGTATTGGAAGCTTTGGAGGGCTAACCCATTTGGTTTGAATGCAGGAAACATCGGTAATATTCCTCTTGTCCTGATTGCAGCATTATGTCGAGATGAAACCAACCCGTTTGGTGATTCTGATCAATGTAGTCAGCAAGGGACTGCATACATTTCATTTGGCCAATGGGTAGGTTAGGAGATGCAGTCCTCTCGACCATTCTGATTTTGTTTTTGTATCTTCTGTACATAATTTTTCTTATATTGCTCACTCGTGTTTTCATTGATCTTCTATTGTGATTTGGCTGATAGTAATATTTAGGGGAAAATATCAGGACAGTACGTGGAACAACACCTTTATTGGTCATGCATGCAATCTAAAAACTTTAAATATCAGGACAGTATATAGACCCTTTCTTTTTTTTAACCTCAGAATCCATGTTTAAGTATCAGACAAGAATGCTTTATACCAGGGGTAAAATGCTAAAATTGATAGGTCCGGAAGCTGTCCTTATATTTCATGTTTTTGGGTCACCGGCATGATCAGTGTGGGTGTTTCAATTTCTGGCTGAACAATTTACCAAATATTCATGAATTTTCAGTTTTATTCAGTGAGATGACTTTCAATCTCAATATAATGAAAGTGACATATATATTGGGCAGGTTGGTGCAATTATTTTGTATACGTATGTCTTTCATATGCTTGCTCCTCCTCCTGGAGATTCCTTTGAGAGCATTGAGTCAGATTCCTTTGAGAGCATTGAATCTGGAAAATCTCCCACAAACACTATTTCAAGGGGTTCTGGGCCTGAAACATTGCCCTTATTAGCACCACAGGCACCTGCAACACAAACTTCCAACAATACGGAAAGAGTAAGGAGGGTCCTTAGAGTTTATATCTTCATCTCATGTAGGCGAATGCATTAGTCTGCATGCAAAGTTTATGGAATTTCTGCTTCTTTGTCTACTAGCAATATATTTTAACATTTTCTGCTTTATCATGATTCTATGCAGATACTCAAATTCCTTTCCTCGCTTTGCGAGAAATTGAAGATTAAGCAAATTCTTCAGCCTGCCATAATTGCTTCTGTAAGTATTAAAGTGCATTATAAACCTCCTTTCTCTGTATGGAAGATATGATTTATTTTCTAAGAAGAAACCCTTAATTATTTGAAATCTAATCTAGAAACTCCTTATTACTTAAATCATTGGTTCCTTTTTCTCCTCACTATTTGTCATGGCAATTAGTGTACAAATAGTTCCTTTTGGCCAGTTAAACCAATATGGCAATATTGTGGTTTCATCTGATTTCCAATTAAATCATAAATGTGCTTCTCTTGCAGATCCTTGCAATGGTATGTGGCTGTGTGCCATTTTTGAAGCGTTTGATCCTTAACGATGATGCACCATTGTTCTTTTTTACAGACAGCCTCATGATTCTTGGGTATGTTAACTTCTCATAGGCATCAAATTTTGGATTTAATTTATGAGGATGTTCTTGTTTTTATTCAATAATACCTTTTCAACTTACAGTGTCAGACCATCCAAGCATTTTATAAGAGCTCCGTGTGTTGAACAATTCATTGCATCAATTGGATATTAATTGTGCTTAATTCACATGAATAGAAGAGAATATGAGTTTAGAATAATCATTGCATGTATCTTCTTCTTGTGAGTTATGCCTCTTGAGTTCAAGTAGCCTGATGTTTAATGAAAAAATCTCCATTAAATTTTTGGGTGGTACTTTTTCTTTATGTTGGCTAGAGGATTTCCAGGGCACACTTCAGTTTTCGTTCTTTTTAACAAACAACTCCTGATGTTTATAAAGGTGTTATTTATGTTGGTTTGTGGCTTCTCTACGTCGGTTGGTGGTGGGTTTAAGACCATGTTCCTGGGGGAAATTTACGCAATTTTTTAGGTCAAGAAGATCTTTTAGATATTGGTGCTCTAGAGCTGCGCTGTAAAAGTAGATCTACAACCTATAGTTTCATATTTGACATTAATTGCATAAACTAAGTAGTAATTCCTGTGGATATCTAGTTCTAGTCCTTCCTGGTAAGCTTTCTCATAATCAATATTTATGTTTGTTACTGATGCATTTACAGAGAAGCCATGATTCCATGTATATTGCTTGCATTAGGAGGCAATCTTGTTGATGGTAAGTATTGTTATTATGTAGACATAAATACCATTCTAGTTTCTTCTCTGATTTGTTGTGTTGAATACTGTGAGTAAATTACTGTGAAATTCATTTATCATTTCTCTCTCTCTATTTGTGACAGGCCCAGGTCCAGGAAGTTCGAAGCTAGGCTTCCGAACCATAGCCGCTATAATATTTGCACGACTTGTTTTGGTTCCTCCAGTAGGTCTCGCCATTGTAACCATGGCAGATAAGCTTGGCTTCCTTCCTGCTGGTGATAAGATGTTTCACTTTGTTCTTCTTTTGCAACACACCATGCCCACCTCCGTGCTCTCTGGTAATTTCACTTCTTTCCCGTTGTTCCTCTCTCTCTCTCTCACACACACAATGTACCCACCTCTGGTCTCTCTCATAATTTCCACTTCTTTCCTTTTGTTCCTGTGTGTGTGTGTGAGAGAAGGCATTACTATTTGTGTGTGGAAGCATTAACTATTAGAAAGAGAGCTATAAACTAGGTGTTGATATTAGAAAACTATGTTAGAGAACTATCATTGCAATGAGTCTTCATTGAGTAAAGAAATGTATAATAACCCAATAATGCCTCAAAGTCGACGAAATAGTCATAGATTTAAAATACTAGAGGGAGGCTTGGAGTTTTCACGAAAGTAATACACGGCTCCTGTGTGCAAACATTCTCGTCTCCCTCTCCCTCTCCCTCTCTCTTTACACATGCTCATCTTTATAATCCAGTGTTCTTTATAATTCAGTGTTTGCAAAATCCAACCGGAATGGTTAACCGGACATGGGCCAAAAGCGGTTTAACCGGGCCTAACCGATAAACTGTCTAATTCAACCGTTCTAACCAAGCAAGTTTCGGGATGGTAAAAAAAATCTATTAAAATATGAAAAAAATATATAGAGAATGATTAAAATAAAACATATTCAAATGAAATTAAATATTAATGGAAAAAATAGATTTTAAAGGTGCCTAGGGGTATTTTTAATTTTTTTTAAAAAAGATGGGAAAATATGAAAATGAGTATTAATAAGCAAAACAATTTCTAATCTTTACCATAATGTAAATATTATTAAAAAATGTACTACAAATCAAATTCTTTATTTTTGAGATTATATATATCTTTTTTTGAATTTTTTTTTTTAAATACCGGTCGATCATCAAAACCGCCTTAAACCGAGTGGCCGGTTCTGATCTAACCAAGAGGGTACCGGTTAGATCACTCGGTTTTTCCAACATGGTTCTAATCTCTCTTTCTCGCTCTACAGCTAATATCTCTATCTTTCATAACATAATCATCTTGCTTGTCTTTCCCTCTATCTCTCTCTCTTGACAAGGTTAAAAACTTCTATTGATAAAGTGCTGAAAAAGCATCAGACTCTCTCTCTCTCTCAACATGTTCGTCGTGCTAATCCCTCTCTCTCTCAAAACATGCTCATCTTGACACACACACATACTCTCTTTCAACGTGGGCATATTGCTACTCTCTCATTTACATTTTATTGGGTTGTGACCTTAGCAAACAAACACTGGTTGTAGGTGCGGTTGCGAATCTAAGAGGTTGTGGAAAAGAAGCAGCTGCAGTACTGTTTTGGGTGCACATCTTTGCTGTTTTCTCCATGGCAGGATGGATCATTCTTTATCTCAAATTGCTATTCTAATTCCATTTTACTCGATCATCTCTTCTCTCTTTCTTTTTCTTTTTAATCTCTCTATTCAGTGTTATGTTTATGGCTTGCATAGAGAATAATACTTTGGTGATATGTTAATACCAATGTTCATTAGTTACCATTTGTTGTCAAGTGACTTGGAGGTACCTATTTCTCAACCTCAACCAACTTGGAAGAAATGAGAGCAATTTATAAATATCTTGTGACTACATGAAAAAGCAATCAGCACCAATTTTTTGCAGGTACAAATCTAGTTGTTTAAATACTCTTTAAGAACAAAAAAATTTCTTTTTCCTTTTCTGAAAATGTGCTTATAACACTTTTTAAAAATGAATTGGTAGGGCAAACATTGGTATTAACATATCCAATGTTAATAACAATGCTTTTTTTTTCCAATATCCGGTTGGGATGGCAATTGGTTGGGTTGGGTCGGATCAACTACGATCCAGACCGACCCAAAAATAAAAAATATATATTTAAAATAGTGGACTTGGGCCCGACACGATGGGTCCAATTTTTCCAATTTTTTGACCCATACCTGGACCCAGGTCAGGTCCGGTCGTCGGGTCCCAATTCCATTGCCACCCCGAATATCCTGTTATTCCTTCTGTTTTTCATTGATGAAATCTATAAATGTACATATTTTGGGGTCCAACAACACCTCCAGAATAAGCCTGCAGGCATGTAGGAACTTTTTATCTTAGTAGTTTCTACTTTTCTATTAGCAAATAATAAAGAAAGAAATAATTCCATGACAAATATGTCATTCCAAAGAGCTAAGTGAAGACAGTGTTTGAAACTTTTTGGTGCATCTTAAAATGCATTAGAAAATCCTCGCAGAACTCGAAGGATAAAAGTGGTGCAAATATCATTAGCCATCCACTATTCTTTCCCTTAGGTTTCTTCCATATATTTTGCATCATACAGCCGATTCTTCCCAACTAGTGTTACTAGGATGGAACCGGTCATCGGGATAACCGGTCATCGAGATAAAGGAATCAGCGTGGAAGCGAACCGGTCAAAATATAACATAAAAAAAAATACTGGCGTAAGTCTATTAGCTAATGGAATAATGAGAGTTCAACAGTTTAGATTCAATCTGGACTGATCCTCACAACTGTATTTCATATTTGAATTTTATTTTATTTTTATAAATCTAAATTATTTAAAATTTGAAACATTTATTCTTAAAAAATAGGTGAATTTAATAAAAAAATTTAAAAAATTATTCGCAAAATTAAATGAATCAAAATACCCATGCAAAACTCTAGAAGAATCTTGGTTAATTTAAATTTTGCGAATAATTTTTTTTAATATTTTTATTAAGTGTACATTGATAAAAAAGGTGGAAGCTTCAAATTTCATGTAATTTAGATTTGTAGAAAAATATTAAAATTTAAATACGAAATCGTGTCCATCAAATCGGTTTAGATTCACACTGTTCCATCAACTAGAGGGCTTATGCCAGCCTTTCCCTAACATAAAATATATGTAGATAATGATTTAAAAATACACAGAGCTGGAAAATTAATTAAGTAGAGAAAAAGGTTTAGATTTTACATCTTTGAAGATTGTTGTTTTCAGGCTCAAAATCATCGGATTGTGATTTCCAATCTAACATCATGGTTTTTTAGCACAAAATTAGCCAATAATGACTTCTAATGCAACATAATATGTGCTCGAAGGATCGACGGGGAAAAAGGTTAAAAATCATGCAAAAAGATGCTAGAGAACGAAAACAAAAAAAACAAAATTGGTTGCAAAAGGCCATGAGATAAAAAGAAAAAATGTCAAGATTGTTTTTTTGCTAAGGCTTAGGAATTATGTTACTTGTATAAATAAGTAGATAGAATGAAAAGTGGAAACAAAGCAGCAGAAAAATGCTTAACGATCATGCCAAAACAAGGTTCAGATATCCAAAGTTATGACCTGGAAAGGAGCTCATAGAACCGGCAAAATTACCTAGTCAAACTACCTTTACCGATTGTTTTGCTTGGTCAGACATGTCTGTCCAGTCTTGATAAAACCATTTCTCACCAGTTGGCCTAGATTCCAATACTAAACAGCAAAAGCAACTACTCTGACCCCAATACTGATTGACAAATCATTATCAAGCAAAAGAAAGTAAGGTTGGTGTAAGCCAATCTAATTAGCCCTAGAAGAAACAAAAATTTGAGAGAGAAATCAAATATGTTATGGTTTGTTTGGATCTTAGGGTATGCAAACCCAGGTTTTGCATATTTAGATTAAGAGAAATATTTAAGTGAATTTTAGACATCCAAGACATGCATATGCATTTTCCCTCAAAACTTGTATTTGTTAAATAAAAAGTGTCTGGTTTCATCAAGCCCCTTCAAAATCATTCTTAGCGGTAAATTTTGGATATGAAATTAGTCGAGTCCATAATCTCAACCATGGCTAGGGTTGTTAGGTAGGATTCGCATCGACCCCAACCCCACTGGGTCCTAGCTGGACCCCGACTCAACCTGGTCCCATGTTGGGTCAAGTCTCGGTCTATATTATAAATAAATAAATTTTATCAATATATAAATTACGTTGCACACATACATACATATTTAAGTATCGGACCGAGTCAAGTCTGGACGACCTTGACCCGGATCCAACCCGATCCATCAAGTCCAGATTGGACCAGTTTCTGGTCAACCCGTAACCCCTAACCGGGTGATCACAAAACATTATAATTAATAGTATTTCTCCTCTAATGTTAATGATAAGCAGGAATAGGCTCAATGCGAGGTGGTTAGGATAGCGGCGCACCACAACATGACATCTTGAGTTCTATTGCTACAATAGGTAAGGGACCCTTACCCGTTGAACTACCAATAAAAGAAAATGTTAATGATAAGTAGGGCCTTGCTATTTATTTTACTTCCCTAAGTACAACTTATACTCCTCACTACTATCACCCTACAAAAACTCCAACTGGATTCCTTGAAGTGTCTTTGCCAACCCCCATAGGAATGTGGAACATAGTGACTTGTATTGTCTTCATAAAATAAAATAAAATTAACAAGAAAATATGGCAGATGAATTGTATAGGGGGATGCCGTCCTAAAGCCTAGGTTGAAGCTAAGACGAGGCTCAGATGATCATAGGCATGTTCTTTTTCATAAGAGGAAGGAATGAAGGGTTAGATCATGATGAAGGGATCCGTGATGTAGTGCCAAAGGTCTTAATTTACTCTAGCTTTACATGTTGTCATGGAGAGTGTGAGAAAACCATTGTGCAAATGCAAGAGAGGAATGGATCAGTATCAGTGTTACTAAATGGCAGTCAAACTGGGTTGTTTCTTGGGGAGAGTGAGAGAGGATCCTCTAACAATAGAGGATCCTTTTATGAGATATCTCAAAAAATCACAAGCTCTATGGATGGGATGGAACATAAGAAGCAATCTTCATAACCTGGAACCCAGACCTTCGTCGAGCCCATCACGACAACGAACTCGCGGCTTTTTTCCATCTCTCTGCTCTCATTTCCTCGTCCCTCCCTCCCTCTAGGGGAGAAGACAAAATCATCTGGTCTCTGGCCCCCTCTGGATTTTTCTCGGTTTCCACCATCTACCTCAAACTCATCTCGGTCCCTTTTGGGCCGGAAGCCTGTCACCCAGCTATCCCCAAAGCCTGGAACTCTTTCGTCCCACCCAGAATTTAGGTCTTCAACTGGCTGGCCTTGTGGGGCAGGGTCTTACTGGTTGACCAGATCCAAAGGAGAGGTATGCCTTTAGCTAACCGCTTCATCATGTGCCTCCAGGCAGAGGAGACCAACACACCTCTTCATCCACTGTCCTTTCTTCAATTTGCAGGGACACTCTATCTTTGTTCCAATGGGAATGGGTTACACCCGAGAGTGTGCCCCACCTCCACAACATTTCTTCTTGTCTCCCGTGGGCCCGCTCCAGGTCCTTACTATGGAAAGCAACAGTGGCTGCGGCCATGGGGACCATATGAAAGGAAAGCAACGATAGAATTTTCATGGGCCTTTTGGCCCTTACCCTGAAGATCAAGGAACACCATTCGAGACTCAATCATTTTCTGGGCCACCAACCATAGACACTTCAGATTCCTCCCCGCCGCTGACTTTCATTCCAACTGGGCCAATATCCTCTGTCACCGACTAAGGAAGGTGCCTCGCTTGGCACTCTAAAGGCCCCCAGACAGGGGTGTTATCAAGCTTAATTTCGATGGGTCGTTGCTTGGCAACCCTGGCCCAGCAAGAATTGGCGGAACCTTTAGAACTGCCAAGGGTATTTCAATCCTCTCCTTCTCCTCGTCAATCGGGACTGCTGACTCGACCGAGGCCGAAACTAGGGCCCAACTTGAAGGCCTTAGGAGGTTCAACCACTCCAGGGGCCCTCTCCTCATTGTCAAAGGGGACTCCCAAAACGTCATCTCATGGGCTTCTTGAACTTCACAACCGCCGTGGAGACTCTGGCATATGTTTGATGAAATTTGTGATCTTTGCAAGCATATGCAAGTCTCATGGAGGTAGGAGGACAACCACGTCGCAGATGATCTCGCTAAAAGTGGCGTCATTTTGGGTTCAGGGCACAGTTCATAATGTTTGATTGCTAGGCAGAGGGGGTCTTTGGGGGTTTAGGCATCTTTTTCCTTTTTGCTTTTTTGGGCTCTGTCACCTTTCTTGGTGACCTTTTTGTGTATTTCCCCTCGGGGCTCCTTTGTAATACTCTATTCCATCCAATGTTTTAAAAAACGGTCCGCCTGGCGCCTAGGCGGCCTGGACTAAAAATCCACGCCTAGACCCAGGCGGCCCTACTCGGACGGATGTACCTGGGCGGGCGCCCAAACGGGCTAGGCGTTTTTCGTTTTTTTTAAATTACGGGGCGCCCGAGGTTTCTGGGCGCCCGCTTAGGCTGCCGCCTAGGCGCTGGCGCCAGGCAGGCCGCCTAGTGTTTTTTGAAACCTTGATTCCATCTATCGAATGTTAACAGTATCAAAAAGGAAAGAAGCATTCTCTAGACAAGAACTCCTCAGCCCCACTACAGGAGGAGGACCTAAGATGTTCACAGCAGTTCATTGTGATTGAGAGCATAAGAAGCTATCTGTAGTTGGTTGTGGTTGAGGGCACAAGAAAAAAGCAACCAATACAATACATTAACTATAATATTAGGTGGATCAACAACAGAAACAGAAATACATGGAAACTAAAAAATGTTTCCTTTACTGGGGCCCACAAATATTGCTTGAGCTCCCCATGTTGAGGCTGATTATTTGGTATACCAGCCAACTTAAGCCGGCATCGTTATCGACAATTTATCAGCTTGGGATTCTCTACCAAGTTTTTTTTAGCGAAGTGTACTGTATTGCAAAAGGGGCCAAAATTACAATAGTTGTGGTGATTCTCTACCAAGTTTGCCTCTTAAGGATTCAACAAAACTTGCGACCTTTTGTTTTAGTGACTTAAAAAAATTTATCAGTTGTTGATTTGATCCATTTACTTTTCTAATGGCTTACAAGGACCATTGAGTTAGATATAAAAAGGGAGAAATCCCCATAAACAAAATACCAATCCAATTGGAAAAGATTCTGAACCTATTTTCGAAGCTGAACAAACTTGGGGTAATTCAGTCTTACAATAAATGAGGACCAATGTAAAATTACAACAAATTACCTCTTTTTTCTCTTGAAGTCACTTGGGCCAATGAGATTGGCACTACATGATCTGTGCTCTTCGGATAATCTCTTTGCCAGTTCCCATTTTCCAGCTTTCTTAAGATTACTTATCAAGGACCGGTATATATACACAGAGGGCTTTTGCCGCTTGTTCGTCATCTCACTGAAGAGCTCTAGTGCTTCATCAACTTGCCCCACACGACCTAGACAATCAATCATTGCAGTGTATGACCTCAGATCAGGTTCAATCCCATTCCTGACCATTTCCCTCATGAGATTTATGCACAGGTCTAATCTACCCATTTGACGAAAACTATTAATCAAAGTGTTATAGGTTATGATATCAGGAAGATGCCCTGATTCTTTCATGGAAGAGAACTCTTGAAGCATTCCATCTATCTTACCCATCTTCCCCAATATTGCTATCACAGTGTTATAAGTAATTTGATCAGGTTTGCATTTCGCATTTTTCATATCTTCAAAAATCAAAAGGGCCTTCTTGTTCTGCCCTGTTTCAGCAAATGCATATATGATTCGGTTCATTACAAGCGCACTTCTTGGAAATGTTATTTCTGATAACTCTCGGCTGAGCTTAAGTAACAAATCTGTATCAGTCACATTTAGGAAAGACTTTGCTAGAGAAAAATAAGAGGCAGAATTTGGAGAACCCCGAATTAGTAAATCCTTAAAAATTTGAGAAGAGAGCTCACATTGGTTTGATTCCCCTGCTGAAGTTAGAAAAAGGTTGTAGGTGTCCAAGTTTAGGCATAACTGTCTATCTCGGAGCTCTCTGAATAAGTAAAAAGCATCTGCTAAGTTGCCCGATTTGCAAAGCTTTTCAATACTATCAATGCACTCTCTCTTACCAGCAGTCGGGTCACCTTCAATTCTAGCAAGAAGTTGCTTCAAAGCAACACCATTCACCTCCTGTTCTTGAGCAGGTGCATATATGCAAAAAAGGATGGAAATAGAGGTCAGCCTTCAGATCTTTCAATGAAATTATGATTTTTTTAGCCAAATTAAGCTTTTAACTAAAAGCTCGGAATCATGATGGTATGGATTATATCATTTACTAATAATACTTCATTATCTACATTTAGAATAAGAAGGTAAGGAAAGCAAAATATAAAATATTAAGTGACTAACACATTAGACTACTATAAAAAGACAAAGAAATATTTGTATCCAAACTCTCCAATAAAAGTGAGTATGACATGTCATCATCATATGGAAAACCAATATAGCACGTGTGCTACTTAGCACAGATTGATCATTCGAGATGCCCATCAAATATGCTGCCTAAAAGATGCTGCTCACCTACGTGCTTGAGCATATGTTCCCCGTGCTTATACTAGAGAGAGCTAAAGCCCTACCCTTAACCGAAGGTCTCGACCAGGTGCGAAGCAACACTCGACTGCGTTGGAGAGGTACCACAGTCTTTATTCTTAAAGGGTGCATAGCTGGTAAAATTCTACTACCTTTCCCCCTTCTATCAATGCCCTAATTATCTAAGATTCAACACTGACAACTAGATTTTATATTCATTTGCAATGAAATAGTCAAAGGCTGCACTTTGGCAAGTTCAACCAGGTAGAAGATACCTTACAGGGCTGAAAAAAGAAGTATTTACAAAACTAATACTTAGAAAACAATAGGGCAAAAAAAACTAAATTAATGAAAACAATAACACATGGAACATGACAGCACTTTCCTTGTTATCTCAGCATCTTAAGATTTTTACATCATAATAGACTGGATCATGCAGTTTCTCTTTCTCACATATATGACATTCACAGGTATATGAAGTGACTCTATATATATCTATATCCGATTGTCAGGTAAAATTCACGTGACATGATGTCCTAGGAGACCACAATCATTGATGAATTTATTTCACCATTATCAGAATCGTGTTTGAAGGTCTATATGCACAAAATTGGAACTACACCAAAACACCCAGAGACGCCCTTTGCTGGAGCATATGCTGAATTTCTGTGAACAAGACTTTATCTGATTTCAGTTTATTAGTAATTTCTATGTTTAAAATCTGGAAATAAATTTTGAAAGAATGAGTAAGCCCAGTGTACTAAAGTTTTGTTGGCAATCTAGAACCCATTTAGATGTAGAAACCGCATATTGAGATCCCACCAGGATTGTGTATTTCAATGGCTAGAAATGAAATATGTGAGGACAAATCATAATATAAGCATGAGAATAAAGCATAAAAGCACACATGCCACAAAAACACACAATATGTGTGGTTCACCCCATAAGGCCATGTCTACAGACAATGGCATTACTGAAATCCAATATATGGATAACATAACAGTTACAACAAATATTTTGGGTCATGAAGTCACTTCTCTAGCCCTTGACAATACCCTGCTGATCATCCCTTTAAACCATTCTCCTTATCAATATCAATCATCGATCTTCCTTCTCTTTCTGTCTAGTAACCACTACCAATCAGTACCAAATAGAAATGTAAGAAGCATGCTTCTCTCTTTCTGGAGGCCCCAGCCTCTCTTTCAAGGAAGCTCACATTCTCCATTCAGTGACCCCAACTAAAGTACACATACTCTTTCTCTCTCATTCCTTATATATATTGGGATTCCTATCCAAAATAGATTCCATTGAACACCACTTTGTGGAACATCCCATTGAGATCGCATATCTCCGAGCCGAAGGGAGTGTTTGATGGCCAAAGAATTTGCTAGTGGGAGGGAGTCTCCTACAAACTATGGAAGACCGCCCTTCCATCATATTTGATGGGAACTTTTTTGACGTTAAAAAAATTCTGTGGAAGGCCGCACTTCCACGCAGTGTCTTCCACATTGCGAAATCAAACTTGGAAGTGGGATGTTCAGCTCCTACTTTCAAAAACTCCTTGAAATCAAACACGCCCTAAGAGATATATGATAATACAAATGGAATTAACCTATTTGGACTTCGCTTTTTGTTTATTGATTCTTATACTCACAAATCCAATAAATGGTAAAAATACTTTAGGATGGTGATATTTGTCTAGCACCATCTCCAACAATCTCCACTTTTATAGTAAAATCACCATATTTTCCTTACTGACCTACATTTGATAGATTTCTTGATTTCTTCCTTCTTGCCGAATATATCGAATTTCTAGAACTCTTTGTATCCATTCTTTTTCAACTTAAACCATGTATTCACCTAACTTTTCCATGTATATTTCTCCAACAAAAATGCAAACCTTAGTTTAGTCATGTTCACACCTTGTGCTGTAATACAAATTGTTGGGTCCTCGGAAACCCCTAGCATGTGGAACTAGGAACCTTGAATATTAAGATTTTACTCAAGATTGTCTAAAGAGTCAGTTAAATGCGAAATAGAAGACCACAACAAGAACATGAGTACGAGAGACACAGTAAAAATAAAACAAACCACAATAAAACAAGCTTTACATGGTTCACCCCAAAGTGGGTTACATTCATGGCCTCGACAAGTCAAAACTAAGTGATTATGAAGATTATAGTTTTGGGTTAGAAGAGATTTACTTCTCTCTATACATTAGCAAAACCCTCATTGATTCTCTCTTCTAAACTAGATCTAATGACCGAAAAACGCCACCGATCAATCAGTGTCTTTCCATCACTTCACTGCTAACATGAAGAGAACCTTGAGAGCATCTCGAAACTTTCTTTATCTAGGAGTGGAAAATTCAAGAAACCCAAAACCCACAAGAAAACCAAGTCTCTCTTAGAGGTCATGCCAATGTTGTCAGATTCGCTTCGGAATCTTCTTCAGTTTGGTGAGAAAATGAAGCAATTCAGTGCTTCGGCCGATTTAGGGGAAGAGTTCAGACTTTTTTTTTAATCTAATCTAAATAAATTAGATATTTATATATAAAATATATACAAATAATGGAAATTTTAAAAAAATAAAAATTACTTTTATATAGCTATTACTTTGCTGGCCGAAGTAGACCCGAATCTAACGGAAGTAGCCCGAAGCGGCAGCACCAGGCTTCGTTTCGCATCGATTTATGCCTAAAATCTGAAGGCTTCAACTGAAGCAAAGCGAATTTGATAACATTGGGTCATGTCATGCTTCTCTCTAAGAGAGGGGCCACTCCTCAATCTCTCTTAGAGGCCCTACCTCTCACTCTAAAAGCCAATTACTCCCAAAGCCCATAATAGGGTGACTCCAAAAAAGGATGGGTATTACATCACTTTTCACCCCTTTATATAGAGATCATTAGGACTTCTTTATTTCTACCCAAGAAACTCCCATTGTCTTCAATAAACATAGGAGTATTGAGTTTGGCTATCACCAAAACCAACAAGTTTTCGAGTATCCATAGTCACAACCCAAGATTTAATGTCGTGTCATGGATTGCCTTCTAGGATGGTCTTCATAAAATGAGAAAATATAAAACAACACAATTCACCAAACAATTGATTCATAAACATTCTCTAAGCACCCAAAAACCCAATTGGCTTCCACACGTATCCTTAATACCTAATAACAAAACCAATATACAACAATCCATGAGTCATTTAAAACTCTATGAGTCCAACTCAGACTCGCCCGAGTTACTAAGGCTCGGCAGGCTGCCATTCCAAAACATAAACCTCGGGAACCAGCCAAGCCTCGCCACTTCCCAAGGGTTTATTGATAATCTTCTTAAGGCTCGATCAAGTCCATAACAAACTCGGTTGAGCCAAGTTGCCCAAGTCGGGTTCGAGACCCTGGCATGTGCCAACCCTAGTCCTTGGTTTAAAACACTGATCCTATTTACCAAACTCTTGGAGTCTTTCCATGCTACCTCTGCCATTTTCCAGCAAAGCCTAATTCACTACCCTTAATCTAAAAATTCAAAAACATCCTTATCTTAAGGTATGCAAAACTCAATGAAATGAATGAACCAGAAACTCCCCTCCCCCAACTACCTGCTAGATAAAGTTCACAGCAAATATAAACACATATCAACTTTCTTGGTGAAGTCTTACGCTAAACCATTCAAAATGACTTACTATTTCTTTGTATCTTGTTCAAACTGGCAATTTCTTTTCTTTTTTTCTCCCTTTATTTTTTGTTATTTTTTGAAAGCAAGAAACTAACAAACCAATTTCAATGAACTGATGACAGATAGCATTGACAAATAACATATTGTTCTTACCCAAATAAAAAAATTAGAATTTTTTATACCAACAATCCGGGGAAATAAGAGAAAAAAAAAAAAGAGGCAAGCCATGGTTTTAAAGATTCACCCCTTATTCTTATCAGTTGCAAGAAACTGACCCTTTTCGTATCCACTTAAGATAGCAGTCAACTTTTTAATTGTTCACGGCAAAAAAAAGAAAAAAGAATTGGTTGCAGCCATTTTTACGAACACTTGTGAGTATTGTCCAACAATTTTGCAAAAACCCACTATCAAAATCAACACATTTCCTGCTTCATGAACACAAATTCAAGGTGGGGAAATTGTCAATTTACCACCCCGTCAAAAAAAATTTATTCAAATTCGAATATGGGGTTTTTTTTTTTTATCATTTTCAAGCATTTGAATATTCATGTGATAGAATAACAGAGAGAGAGATTGTGTGTGTGATACGAAACTATGGAACCTGAGCATATTTGTTCACCGTGAAATTTTTAGGATTTGAGAGAGGAAAGAGCAGCTCACCTTGTGCGTCGTTTCTCTCTCTCTAGAGGAGGCAATGGATTGAAATAGAGTTATTGAAGTGAGAGAGAAGCAGAAGGGCAGTCTAACCAGTCTTCGTTTGGAGGAGATTCGATGAAAGAGAGAGTGAATATTCATCAAAGCTCATGGGCAATGCTGCCTTTCTTCAATACTTCGACCACCTCGCTCCCTCTCTCTCTCTGACTCTCTGAGCTTTGCTGCCTTCTTCGATACTTAAACCACATCCCTCGTTCTCTCTCTCCTTGGATTACCCAAGCAAAGTGTTTCTCTCTCTCCAGAATACCCAATCCGCCCACCGTCTCTACGCTTTTAGTACGGGGACCGAGGACAAGCCGGTGTTCGCAAAAAGGAACCGGAACCGTTAACCGGACAAATTTATGAAAGCGGTTAGCCTGCCTAATCGGTCATTTAGCGGACTCAACTGTTCTAACTGGACAAGTCCCATATCATCAAAAACATATTGAAAAAAATAAAAAAAAGATATAAAAAATATTTAGAAAAATATGAATAACATTTAAAAAATGATTAAAATAAAACACATTCAAATAAAGTTTAAAATTAATAAAAAAATAGATTTTATCGAATCGATTTGTGTCTAGAGGTATTTTTTAAATTTTATGAAAAATATGATAAAATATAAAAATGAGTATTAACCAAAAATAATATTAATCTTTACCATAATGTAAAAAATATTTAAAAATATATTACAAATCAAATTTCGTATTTTTTAGAATTTATATACATTTTAAAAAATTTAAAATACCAGTTGATCACCAAAACCGTCCAAAATACTGGTCGGTTCCAATCTAACCAAGCGGTTAGCAGTTAGATGGTCCGATTTTGCGAACAGGGACAAACCAAACTTCCCCTCCATAATTAATATTGAAATAACAAAATTAAGGTTTTCTTTTTAGCCTTAAAAGTGAGCGATGGAGCCAATAAAGGGTCACCCCGATTACAGGGAAAACTAGTTTGGATCATCAAATGAACGGTTCAAATTGAGGAATCGAATGGATCAGCGAGATCTAGCCTTAAAAAATAAAAAATAAAAATACTAACTTTTTTTTAGGAAAAATTATAAAAACCCCTCAAGGATACTATCTATGCAACTTAACGCTAGCTAATTTTTCTTCTCACTTTTTTCCCACAACCCCCTTTCCTTATAAAACCCCCCAAGGTAAAAAGTTGTTATTTATTGGATGGAAATGCCCTTCTTGTACAAAAAAAAAGTAAATTGGTGGTCCCAAGTAGTGTATTGCTGGAGTGACCAATTCAACCGCCGGAGCGACCAATTCAACAGTCGAAGCGACCAATTCAAACGTCGGAACGATGTGGCTCTAGAAGGTAGACTGTTGGAGCGCGTCTTCGTACTGCCAGCGTGACCTATTCAACCGCCGGAGCGCTGTGGCTCCAGAAGGCGTACTGCCGGAGCCAGTCCTTGCATTGCTGGAGCGTGTGTCTTCATTACCGGAGCGACCCTCTGCATTGCTGGAGCGTGTGTCTTCATTACCGGAGCGACCCTCTGCATTGCTGGAGCGCGTGTCTTCATTGCTAGAGCAAGTCTCCGCATTGCTGGAGCGCGTGGGTAAAACGCACGGGGCGAGAGTCCGAGGTAAAAGCCATGATGAGAGAGTGAGGGGTAGTTTAGTCTCTTTTTTCTTTTTTATTGGATTAGGGGTATTTGCGAGGAAAGGTGGTTGTAGGGAAAAAAAATGAAATAAAAGATTAGCTTGGGGGTAAGTTGTAGTATACTTAGGGGGGATTTTGTAAATTTATTTTTTATTTTTATAAGGGTACGGTGCCTATAAGGTTGCAACCTTAAATAAATCCAATTAAGGTGCACTTCTAAATTTTATCAATTTTTTTGTGCAAAAATTTTAGGATATCTTAAAATCTATTTTCATATCTAATTAGAAAATTTTAAAATCCAAAAATGGTTAAAATCAAGTAATTCTATAAATATATGAAAATCTTGAAAATTGAAGGTCTAGATAATGTGTTGCAAGATGCACTATTTATGGGATTCAAATATTTTTTTTTTTCATATTCATACATCTCAATGTCGAGATGATCAATTATAGGGTTTTCCAAAATTAAAAGAACATTTTCGATAGATTTTTGAGGTGCATTTGTGATTCTACATTTTAAGGTTGCAACTTTATGCAAACTTTCCCTTTTATAAATATTATTTTTTGAGGTCCAAAAAAAAAAGGAGGGAAGAGAATTATGTGCTTTCATTGTTTTTGTAAAATATGTGAATATTATGATGTTGTTTCTTTGTAAACTGACAAGGGCCCAAATCCCCTTGACCTGCCATTTTTGTTTGTTTTTCTGTTTGGACATCTATTGACCATTAAATACAAATTGGTCACCCCTGTACCTGCTAACATATGATAAGGAACTGCTAATACATGATAAGGAAAAGTGTTATATGAGTCAGCGGGTGCAAGAGCCAGCTTAAGATGGATGTTGTGTAAAGCACATCGGGTCAAATTCAATATGGAAGGTGCCAAAAATACCCCAAAAAAAATGTATCTTTTAAAGTTTAATTTTTTTTATTTTTTTATTTTTATTTTTCATATTTGTAACCAGCTTGGCTTGAATGATGAATCCCTAAAATTTTAGATAAAAAATCTATCTTTAAAGTAAATTTTAGCGGGAGCCGCACATATACATATGAGTCACTCATGGAAACCCATCCATATAACAAAGCAGCATTAGTTTGTGATCTTTCAATGATTGTGTAGGCTCAAAATAGTCATCAGCATTAGTTTGTGATCTTTCAATGATTGTATGGGCTCAAAATAGTCATTTTTCATGTATGCAGTCCACCTTTCTTTGCCATGCAATATAATCAACAACAATACAACATTAATCAAGCTTAATAGTTGATAAATACGGTTGATTGCCATGCAATATAATCAACAGCAATACAACATTAATCAAGGTTAATAGTTGATAAAGACAGTTGATGTTAGGATGGCAACAATTAAATATGAATTTTCAAACTACAAGAAGCATTTTAACATGTGAATTGCATCTTTCACAAAAATATGGAAGTTTATTTTACTTATATTGTTTGACCAGTGTTTGAAAAATCAAACTGGCCCCGAAAACCGGTCAAGGGTAGGTTCCAAGTAACCACTAAATCGCCCGGTTCAATCGGCCTAACCAGACAAGTCTCGGGCAGTCAAAAAAATGTTAAAAAAATATAAAAACAATCTAAAAACTATTAAAAATATATTTAGAGCATGATTAGGCAAAATACATCCAAATGAAGTTGAAAATTAGCACAAAAAATAAAAAGTATTTTAAAAAATCAATTTGTGCCAAAGGGTATATTTAATTTTAATTTTTTTTAAAAAAAAGATGTAAAAATAAGTATTCATGGACAAAATATTTTTCAATCTTTTCCAAAATGATAAAAAAAAACACACAAAAACATGTTATAAACAAATTCCATATGTTTTTAGGATTTTATATATTTTTTAATTTATTTAAAAATACCTCACCGAATCACCAAAACCGGTAAAAACCAAAACTAATCAGTGCCAGGTTCCGATCTAACTGGATAGTTATTATTTGAACCGGCTGTTATTGCAAACACTGGGTGGGCACCTTATACAAACCTCACCCCAAGTTAGATTCAAAAGTCCCATCTCTTCAATAAAGGTTAGGTATTAATGCCGAGTCCCATAGTGCGGTCTTTGACTCCATTCTCACCAAAGGGTAGAGGCCCAAATCCCCACTAACTTACCGCTTTTAACACACCCAAAAAACAAATAAAAGTTAAGTAGTAGAAGAAAATTCCATTTAAAGCCCATTACTTAGATTTAATCCAATTACTCAATACAATTGCAAGAAAGATGAAAGGTCACATGTCAAAAGAAATACAGTATGGAAGTCTGAACAATGACTTAGCCCATTGAGTAAGTAGGTTCATGTGGTTCTTTTTCACAAGCTACACATGAGATATAGATAACATTATATACACGAAAAAAGTACATATAAGGGTGAGGCCCTAAACAATCAAATTGAGATGCACATCAAAAATTCCCTATAAGAGGTTGTTTTGATGCTCAAAAACCCTTAATTCAATCGTATCGTCCTCAAGATCTATGGACATGAGAAAAATAAAATTAAAGTATTGGAAATAGTGTATGTTATGATACATTTATCTACACTGTCATTTTTTATGATTTTCAATAGTTATTTAATGTACTTGATCTACATTATTTTGTAATTTTTAAATTTTATAATTCAAGATGAAAAATAAATTTTAAGGCCATCATAGAGATTTCTTATACTAAAACAACATATTTCGGCACTATTTGAAGTTAAGCCTTACTTTGATTGTTTAGAACCTCGGGCTTGCACAAACCATACCTTTGTATACATGTATGGTCCAAATCAAAGATAAAAGTTGAAGAGAATATTTCAAAGATGAAAAGCTACAAAGAATATTTAAAGAAATGCGTTTTCATGTGTTATATTTTTACCCATTAAGCTATTTCAACTTATGATTATTCACAATTTGGTGAATTTTTAAATATTTAAAATAGGAAAATATTCAATAATTTTATCACCTAACAATATTTTTGATAAATTTCCCTAAATCAAATTAATGTGGATAATTCATAAAAGTAAAAGGGAAAGGACGAAAATTTATAGAGAAAATTTTAAAGGAGCTTATGCACAAATTTTGTTCTCATCAAAAAATTAGGAATTACTAGATAAAAAAATCTCAAATTGAGAAAAAGAGATGGGATTTATTTATAGGGTGTCACCTTATACTATATCGACACCGCACCTCTAAAATCAAAATTCACATCAAATGATTGTAACGAATTGTGACCACCTTGTATCAAAAGCAGTTGGCCTTATTGTACACAACCTCTCTCATTGTATACAATTCCATCTAAAAAATAGACGGACAAGCCAACTTGTTACAAAATATACTATTTTCAAAACTTGAAATATTTTGATTTTATGTTTTATATTCATACATCTTGATATCGAGATGATAAATTCGAAGGTTCTTCAACTTCAAAACACTCTTCTACTTGGTTTTTGATGTGCACGCTACTTCTACAAGACAAGGTTGCACCATTATATGTAGTTGTCCTTTATTTAATATTCTAAAAAATAAATTATTAGATAAAAAAATTAGAGAACAATTTAAGATGAAATTTCTATAAAACCTAGGCTTTATGAAAATAAAATAAAACCTAATATTAAATCTTCATTCAAAAAGCACTTTTAGCAAGAGAAATCTTCATAGTGGTTCTAAAATCAAATTCCAACACCAATAATAAATTTTGAAGCTAAAAAAAAAAATCAAATTCTAACACTAATAATAAATTTTGAAGCTAAAAAAAAGTAAAAATAATATATATATATATATATATATATATATATATATA